AAAAGAACAGTTGTTTTATTGTGCACAACTACGACGGTACAATGCAGAAGGGCGTGTCCGTCCGGGGAAGGTTTTGCGGATGTAGGTGAATTTCGGTTGAGTTCATGATGTTTCTTCCCTTTCGTGTATCTTCTCCGTGCAGCACTGAATGCGCCGATACTGACAGACCACAACCTCCTATCCTATTGGTTCCTGTTACAGTGTATATTGTCGGTTTGTTTCACCGTTGGTTACCGATAGCTTCCTAGGTAACCGATAGACAAAATATTGTCGTAATACATATATTGCCAGCTGTCCATTTCCCATTGCTTAAAAAGCATCTGTTCCATCTGTTCCCAAAGAAGCTTAGTTTCCCGCTACTAACACTTGGTTAACACTTGCACCGTAGATTGTTTTATGAGATAACATTTTGATGACATTTTGCTAGCTGATGTCGGTTATGAGTGCTGGACGTGTTTTTTTACTATCATTTTGGAATGTTGGAACTAAACCTTACTCGTGGCCAAGTTGTATTGTGCTCATCTACTGACTGGAAGGTCGCGAGTGCAAACTATCCCAGAGGTTCGTGGTATGCACGCTCTTGGTGATTGCGAACAAGAATGATGCAGCTGTTCGGTTTTTCAGGACACAAAAAGTTCACCTGCCTAGTGAGATCTCATTTGAAATGAGTAATTATCAAGTCCTGTGGCATTGTATTTGCTAACCTTACCAGGAATACCGCCTCGAATTTTGTTCGCTCCACCCGGTAGCAAACAGCCATGATTACTGGATCAGTAGGCTTCAGCCATTTAGCAGAAGTGCCCCTTAAATTTCAACCTAACTTCATTTGTCTCATTGATAGTAGAGCCAGGAGATTTGTTTGGAATTCTGTCTTTAAACGAATCCAATCTCTGCTAACAAGCCTAGGAGTATTGTACAGCTATTTTTCATCCTTACTGTGAGCCATCAGCAGTGCGCATGTCACAAAAATTCGGTAGGGAATTTCCGAAACACGATCTCTCGGCTGGTGGTTCGAACAGTTCACCTTTCGTCTACGGGCGGCTGATCAGTAGTGTGACAATTTGACAACTTCATTGGTTCTAACCACAATCAAAATAAGCTGGCTCTTGTCCTTTACAATGTCATTCCTGCCGGCCATTTCCACCTTCGTTTATGCCTCTTTCACTTACGTCCTGGAGAAAAAGGCCAGACGTCATTCTTGAGTGCTAAGACATTTACTTTCGCCTGAGCAGGAACACCCACGGATAGATGTGGATATGAGTATCCGTAGGGTTAAACGTGTGTGTGTGTGTGAGAAAAAGGCCAGACGTCATTCTTGAGTGCTAAGACATTTACTTTCGCCTGAGCAGGAACACCCACGGATAGGTGTGGGATATGAGTTCCGTAGGGTTAAACGTGTGTGTGTGTGTTGTGTTGAACACTGGATCTTCAATTCATGGTGGCTGTAGTAACATTTCCGGCTATCACAGCTTGTATTATATCTCTATTCAAGTTTACTATCCTGTTTTGGAGAAACTGACAATGAGCAAGTCACTTTACTGATTTAATGGTAGTTTTTCCCCTACACCTAGTGACGTAGTATCAAGACAAAGCAGGAACCTGAAAAATAGATCGACTGTGCTACAAGGTGTTCAGCACATTCGGATATGAATCCAAGAGTGAAGTGTTCCGGAGGGCCTCTTCGTTGAGTCAACAGTGGCGATTGAATTATATGCACCACAAATAGCCACAAAGTATCAATGTTCAGGGTGTATACTTGAGGCCCAGTAGTACAAACCCCCAACGAGTTCACGACAATGTGATTACAATAGACTCCTTTCAATTACATTGTATTGTTGTTTGGAACGGGACTGAACGATCCAAAAGTAACATTACTCGAGGTTAGCGTCGTGAGACATCAACAGATAAGCAAGCCTTCCAGCCGAATCACTTTTCTTGTTGGAAAAACGCATTGCTGAAAATAACTGAATTATACCAGTGGTAATACCGAATGTTTGATGAGACATTGTCAGCACATCTACCAAAGGTTTGCAATGAAACTGTTAGGCTCGGTCAGCAACTTAGTCGTTACCCACACGATCTGAGCTGTCAATTCTGTCTTCTACCCCCTACACACATTCTTATATCGGAGACTTTGATTTGAATATCAGATGTGAAAGCATACGAGCAGGAATTAAAGTCTGACGAGCTTAAGCATGAACCAGAGTCGACAGTGTCCTTTGTGAAACCACTGACTGACTTGTTCGGGCTCAGGGAGGGACTGGTCAGTACACTGATAAGAGTTTGCGCGACTCGGATTCATGTCATCATAATCGTCATCACCACCACTGTCAACAGAGCCGGTGTAGAACACTAGTGGTTCGTTGCAGCGCCAAGCTGCCGAATTTTTCCAATTTCCAGTTTAGTCAGCCACCTATTTCTAGAGTTTCCCTGTAGCTTTCATCCACAAGGCTTGCACAGTGCTGCAGCTTTAATGAGCGAATCGGCAATACTAAACGATGGTAAATCAAACGACTCCAGTCACTACCTTGGCCAGTCAGTATGGGCCGTCATGTTCTTATTCTGCAGTTTTCCATCTGATAAAGTAAGAGGAGATCATGTACGTTTGGTTTGCGAAAAGTAGGTGATTATAAACGACAGATTCGGTTGGGTTCGGAGTCAAAATAAATTTGTATGCAAATGAGAGTATGTGGCGAGTTTTGTCCAATTTGGGTTCAAATGGAAACCGGGGTTAACGGAAACTTGAAGAATGAGCCACAAGGAGGCTGAAACCGATTGTGGGCTGCTGAAATGTTCTCAAGTTTCTTATGAGTAGTGTGAAGCGTCCACCAGTAATGGTCTGACATGATCCCTTCTTTATGAGGGTGACGAAATACGTTTCCAGCCATGAAAACTTGGCTAGGCCTAGTGATAAAACTATCATCCCAAATTACCCGAGCAGACCACTGTTTATTCCGCAATAGTTTATATTTTAAATGAGCCATGTCAAACTACCATACAATCACCTGAAAACATGACTTTTTCAAACTAATTGCATGCATGTGTCCATTGTTCCTTTTTGGTTATAGGTCTACCTATTGATTCTGCAGTAGTCCAACTATAAAAGGAAACTCGGTCTTGACAGCGTTTCCAAGTAGAAAACAGTTTACACAGACTGCAGTTTAAACATTAGGCCTTCTATGGTTGCAAGCTATCGTTGAAACCAGATAAGTTTGTCGTTCAGTCCATCTGCGATGTGAATCATCGCTGCACCCAGTACATTTACCAGTAAACGTGTAGGAGTAGATGTGAGACTCGAGATCCACAGCATGACCACAAGGCATGAGCAAACAAGCCCTTGTACGGGTGACTAACAATATCACCTGTGATTTCACTTGATAGACAGAGCAAACTGGATAGAATACTGCTCATCCGATAAAAATGATATCATGTTTGTGACTAGAAACAGTTTGTTTTGTATTCGGTTTGTGAACTGATGGAATTTTCTTCTCCTTCACCGACAACAACCAAGCTGAATAACACTAACCAATGTAGGTCCTCACACATTGGAATGACACAGTTAAAAACAAAAAAAGCATATCAACTTACCACACAGTAGACGTATGTGCCAAGGCGAAAGAGAGAGTTCACGTGAAGAATTGTCTCTTCCAGCAAGTAGAATGAAAGATCGCCCCACGTAGAGAAATGTGTGAACAATCTAGCGTAGCTCAATAACCTTTTCGGGTGATTTGCATTCAAACGAAATCCGTGAAATCCGTATGCAACCGTATAGATAACCACGTTTTCTTGCCAACGGCTTCATTTTAAGCCAAACCTTCAGTTGGAATTTAAAAGTAGATCACGCGCCCTCAGAAGATGCACCATATATACACCACCATCCGGTTAGATTCAAGCAACAGCGATACAGCAGCTTAGCTTAGTTCCCAATTTATGAGTAGCGTTTCAGCCCGACAAAAACAAGGACAGATTCTTGATCCATAAACAACTTGAAAACATGCGTTCAAAACAAGGAGAGGAATATACGATTACCGTTTACCTGATAAGGAATTTGTTGACTTCTTTTGGACTGAATTTTCAAGAAGAGCATAAAATATAACCAAAGAACACGAACGATCCTGCTTTGTTCTGCTCCTTCTAAATTCATTTAATAGGATTCAAACTGTTTGAAATTTGCGTAGATCGCCCGCCTTACTGGAATTCGTCTAATTGATAGTTCCGATCAAATTAGGCATTCTTTGGAAGTCTTTAATGTCCAACCAGCAGTTACGGAACCTATTAGTACTACGTCCGGTGGCCACTGAAGACTGGAACATCCGACTCAACTTTACGCTGTTGGAATTCTGAAAACCTTGGCTTTCTGATTTCCAAAAAAAGTTTGGGTCTACAGAGCTCACTGGTGGGGCTGCCGTTCTTTGGTTGTTTTTGAATTGCAAAGACGTATGTTGAAGTCGATTTGAAGCCAAAGGCCAGAACTTGGGCCTGCAGTAACATCATCCTTGCATGCACCATAAATCAGTTACTTATTCACCAAGTGGGGCACCAAGAAGCAATCAAAGCAAGTGCACAGCTCATGAGGGAGTAGATTTCATATTTGCAGCCTTCAGGTCAGTATTGATCCTGCTAGATTGTCCACTGCAATCAGTCAATTTGGCGCAAACGTTTGATGTATTTATCAAGTCAAAACTCAGAATATATCATGCTCTCCCTGATGACCAGCTTGGTGAACTTAAAAATCATACGGTCAGTCGGACCGTGGAACAAACTGTCTGCAACCAGTGTTTATCGGCTGTACCTGGTCGACTGAAGTTTCTCGATGATACAGTCAATGAAATTTGAGATCCTCAGTATGTATCTAAGTCATTCTATTCATAATACATACTTCTCGGAAGCAGGCAAAATAGCAGTGTGCTACACACGATGAAGTCAAAAAGTAAAAACTGAATGACAGTTGGAACAAGTGAAAATCTAATCTGGCTGTACACTTCTTCCATTCTAATCAGGCATCTTCACCTGACGAAAAGGCCTTCGTTGAAGCGACACGCGACTTGGGCGTGGTCTATCATGGTGTGGATGAGTCCGGAATACATGTAAGTTCCTGTCATATGATTGTACAGTTACCTTCTTTTCTTTTTCTGCTCGTTCCGCTTCTGTTTTATGCACCAAAGCGACCGTAGACCGTCAAAGAGAATTGGACGGTGGATTTCCAAAGTGACAGGACTCAATGCCGGTTAGCCAAAAAATATACTCAGTTGAGGGTGATTAATGAATCAACAAAAAGCCTGACGAACAAATTAATTCAGCAAGAATGAGTCCTTTGCAGAAGATGTGGTTAACTTTCCGTAGAGCAGCGAATATGCCAATCTTCCAATCTTGTAAATAAAGACCGTCTTTAGCAGAAAGCCGAGAAGCACCATACAGCTGCCTCATCATTACTGAGAATCGTCAGTAGTACGCATGCCACAAAATTCAAGGGTGCTTCGGAACCCTCGACCTCCATCACACAGGCGACTGATTAGCAGTGTGATTAGTTCGCACAAAGACAGGGTACAGCGCCGCTCAAACTTCAGTCACACTAACCACATCAATTAGTCGCGTGTGTTGACTGGTTCCTCGAGTGACAACTTGTCAGATGGAACTTAGGCTAGTGTGAATTTTTTCCACCTTCTTTTCCGCCAGAGGTTGTTGATAGTGAAGGGGAATTTCAAGTTAATCTAGTGCCCCAACATGTAAGCAAACTAGTGGGAATAGGACACGTCAAGAGGTCTTCCTACGTAAGGAGATAAGCACACAGAAATGAACCCCACAGAGTTGAAAATGCAGACTTTCTGGCAGAATCACATGTGAATGTTTGGTCCAAACGGTCAGTCATCACCACGTTGATTGTCGTACATATTTCGAACGTCCACCTCTCATGTCAACAGATCATACAATACGTAGTTATGCCATATCCTACAAGAAAACTGGTGACAGTTCTCAACTTGCATTTAAGACTGACGACGGAATGGAGCAGGAGCAAGAAGCAAACAACACTAAGTGACCACCTACATAGGCTCGGATCCTGTTCCCAATATCCGTCTATCTCCTCACTGCCCGTAATTCTTGGCACAGTTATTAGGTTTTAAAATTGCTCAAATAAATAAATAAACATGGTACACAGTGAAATATATCCTACAGGAAAAGAGCGCCAAGTTGTCTAGGTGTGGTGTTCTTTCTGCGCCCTAAACATCGTGGTTTCGTGAAGTTTTACCCTAGTTCAGACAACAGTGATCGAACTCCCGGAGAGTATAAATGATCCGTTTTACGTCCCAATCACATGGAAGCGCAAACAGTGTCTCTTCTCTTCACTACCAAATGTTTTCCCTCTTTTTCAAGTCCTGGTTAAAAAACTGGTGTTGTTTATTCAGCAGTGAGTTGTGGAATATTGTGGAAGTCACTCTAGGGGCTTTCAGACGTGTTGATCGACCAAATTTACTTTTTACGGGCGACATCAATAGTGGCACTCTAGCTCCCAAAATTCTTTTGCACTCGAATGTCAACAAAACAAAATTCAAGGAATTCGTTCCTAACGTTCCTCGTTGTGAAACCGTGAATCAAAAATTTGCAACTTCAGTCGGGAAAAGTACAATAACCAGCTGTAAAACCATAACTGGCAGAATGGCTCATTACTTTTTACTCTGGTTGAGAACGTCGTTAGTTTGAACTTTTCAATAGAAATGTGAGTGATCTTTGTCGAGCAATACGTAAACCGCATCGGGGAAAACTTGTAGCTTTCAAGATTGTGAAGCTAGTTTTAGGAATATCCATAATTTTGCAGTTTTTTACGACCTCTTATGGGATGAAACGTCATGCTTTATTTTTCCAGAGATGTATCTTTTTACGCTGTTCACCCAAGCTTAAGCTGAGAGTGCTTCCATGCGGAAACATCATTGTTAGTACTGGACAAAAAACTTAGGTCAGTAGATGACGCGTGATTTAATTTTCTTGCTGATGGATTCTGCCATTTATTCTTCGTTCTCAAGTGACCTGAAGTTAAATAAAGTAAAAATATATAAATCATTGCGCTGTAGCATCCTTCCAGTGCCTAGCTACCATGCGACCCAAAGGAAGCACGAGGGCTGGGATACTGCCAGGGTGCCCAAACCCCAAAAGGGGAAGTCGAAAGGCAGAGGTCGGGTTCGAACCATGGAACTTCTGGTCAGTAAATTCACGCTCTAACTACCTGAGCCATCTTGCCCCCATTAACTCGATGTGTCTAAGCCCAAATTGGCTGAGCAGACAGCGAAGCGAGTCAGCATTTGGATAGCTCATTTTCAAGCCCACTTGGTTACCTGGAAATTGATTGTGTCCGGATTAGCTGCACACACATATTGTGTGGGAATGAAAAACCTACAAGAGAACACTAGGATAATCAGCCAAAGAGTATCTGGTACACACATATTGTTTGGGAGTGAAAAACCTACAAGAGAACACTAGGATAATCAGCCAAAGAGTATCTGGCCATCTGATCTAAAACGCTGTCATCGTTGCGTGGCCACAGCATTACTCGATGGCATTTGAACTCCAGCTATACAAAATCTCACAACTTCCTTAGGTGAACTGACCTAGTTACGTTCTCAGATCCTCTACCTGCAAATCTACCTCAGTTTCCATCCTAAAGTTTCAGACAATCATATGTATTCCTAGTTTCTTCACATCCTGTTTGATAATGAAATTCCCTATGCCACTCAGTCGATAGCTGCGGGTGTGAATACTGCTCGCCAGGGGATGACTGGGTTAGAATTGCACTGTCTGCTTTTATTCGTTTCTTCATAATGAACCTTTCGAATCAATTGTTTGTACGGTAGCAAAGCATCAAAGTTGAACGATGGTGTTTCTTCCGTTGATGGAGATGGTGATGGTAACTCACCACAGTTTTCTGGTTCCAACACTTACCTCTGAATGCTTGAAAAGTTTTTTGGCTCTTTCGAAAATTTGTGGCCTCTGTTCTTGTTTAATACTTCCTTTGAGTAGCCTTAGCCACATGGTTTGACAGCAAACAAGACACT